ACGTCAGTAAATTTGGTGGAAGATGGGATTTGGCTATTTTCTTCTTACTTTTCCTCCTGTGCATTTGAAAATAAAAACAAAACTTTGCAAAGTTAAACAAACTCTAGAGTCTCATTCCGATTGGCTTGACTTTTGTAAGCTTGTATTACTGTACGAATGTGTCTAAACAGTGTTTAAAGTCTGAGTGATGGTGATCATTATAGTGTCATATGGAACAATAGAGGAGGGATTTCCATTGAAAAAGAACAAAAATAACAGCTGAAGACCATTTCTTCATTAAGATGAAGTGTTCTCATCTTAAATGTGAAACAGAGAGACTCAGTCAGAAGAAAGATTAAAGCAGATAAGAAAGAAAAGAAAAAAGTTTGTAGTGAAGTTATGTAAAGATTTAACATAAGATAACAATAGGAATAATAATACAAATACTACCAATAATCTGGAAATCTCAGATTTGTTTCTTATTAGTTCGAACATTCAACATCATAAATGTTTCAAAAGAATTAACGTCAGTTCCTTTTCCAACCCGCTGGTAGGAGCTTCTTAAAACTAAATCTTCCCTCATCCCAAACATGGAATAAAACATCTAAAACACATCCAGCATGATAACTTTATTTGATTTGATATACTTTTGATACAGCACAAATTCTTAGAATATCAACAACTCAAGGCTATAATAGAAAAGAGCTATATCCTTCCCCTACCAAATTTCTGTGCTGGGTAGAGGAATTTTGAAACGTCTGTTCCCCACAATGTCTCTCAAAGATATGCAGGTGACTCGAATGACCCACGGTAGCAAATTTACGAAAGAACTTTGAACAATTCTATAAAAAAAAAGGCATGCACATTTTTCTTCTTTTTTTTCTATTTTCTATTTTATTTTTTTATTTTTTTTACCGTATAATGCAAATTTTTGTTATTTTTTGTTTTATAAAACATACAAAAAATATGTCAATGTGCCACACCAACCTTTCCAAATGTACTTTACAGTTAGCCGGATGGTAAAGGCAGACCATGTGGACGCATTTTACGTAGGAGGCTGTGTGTTACTTTTATCGTAGGAGGCCACTTTTACCATAGTTGTCAGCCATTCATAATGAGGAGGAGGGTTTTTCTTCATCCAGTGTCTTCATAGAATCCTTTTTCAGACCCAGAACAAGACACCTCTTCTCAAAAAGTGAGAAGTGTGAGTCCAGGAGTTCTACTGTGGAGCCTAAAACTGAGAGTTTGACAGATATATTAAACTTTCTTTTAAATGTTTCGAAAATTACTTCCATAATGTTCTTCCACCAATCTTGAAGAGCAGGGCAGGTCCAGAAAATATGTAGAATAGATGCTCAGATAGATAGATAATAGATGCTTCTCATTACATCTCCAGCAAGTGTCTAGCGATCAAATTCCATTTTTCAAGTTGTTGATGGTTTCTATCACATTTACATAGTTAATGGGTATTATTGTTTGTCCTCAAAGTGCTATGGGATTGAAGAAGTGTTTATAAGTCCCGTCATTTGGCCTTAAACTGAGTTTACCTGCAAACTTCCTGTTGTACAATTGCAACTATGGGTCTTACAGGGTTAGTCGCAGACTTATCTTTAAATTCAGATTATAACATCTGGTCACAATTATGTGCCAACACCTTCAGATGACCTAAAAAGCCAGAATAAAAGAGTTTATATAATATGCCGAACGGATTATGAAGGACATAGGATGTCCTGATGGACCTGATATGGGTCTTAAACACGCTAACATCTGTTCCCATTGCACAGGGAAACCCGGCTGTCTTTAACATTTCCTGTTAGCCTCAGGTCCCTGGAGGCAGGGTGGCGATGGCCCTCTGCACCCCTCACTGAGCACACTGTATGAAACACCTACCCCACATATGCAGGTTCACACGTGTGCACACACACACACACTTTTATGCTCACACTACGCCAACTGTGCTGACATGTAGCTTTGTGCCTTTTCCCGCTTTCCCCATAGAGGCCATTGGAGGATTTTTGTACAGTTTCTAGGTACAGTAGATCCTCTACATACAAATTTACTTCGTTCCAGGACCTACTTCGTATGTTAAAATATTCGTATCTTGGTTCAAATATTCCCATCAGAATACACTGTAATTCTTATAATTGGTTCCAAAAACCTAGGATAACTCCTTAATAAATACTGCAGATAATTCCACATAGCAATACAACAAATGACTTATAGAAGAGTGATGTAAAAATAAATAAATCATAAAGAAATAATCAATGAAAAGGGTTTTTTATTGGCACTTCACCTTAGAGACTGCCGAATGGAGGTGTAGGAAGTAGAGGAGTAGACTGAGATACAGGACAAACTGTAACTTATTCTGACTTTCACTACGTGAACTTTAAACTAACTTGGCTTATCTATTTTAATTTCATTTTTCTATATTTTTTCTATGTCAAGTCAAATCTTTTATCAAATTTCACTTCAGATGTTGTAAAATTATTATCTTTAGGCAATTGTAATTAGAGGTTCTGCTGTATTTGTGTTGGTTTGTCCTACTCTCTCCACACTCTCTAAAGTCTAAGGGATTTGGAGGGTGTGTGATTGAATGGGTGAGTGTGGCATGTTGTGTAAAACACTTTGTAATGATTAGATACCATTCAAGAGGACCACAGTTCAGTTACCATTTGAAGTAAACCTAAAAAGGAAGTGGCACTGTATTATTTTTTTTACTTAGTCTTGAAAGATAAGGAAGTAACATATAAATCTCTTCAAATTCCAGGATGACACAGTTGTTCTGACTTCTTGAGCTTCTTCTCCGATACAGTTCTCCACGTTTCATAAGGAAGAGAATCTACTTTTCCCCTCAGATCAAAGTGCCTTTAGAGGCATCTGTAAAACATCATTCGTGTTTCATTTGTGCTGTTGAGCCGTCTGACCTAACACAATAACAACGCTATTTAAAGCCTCAACTTCTCTCTATTACTAATTGACTTTTTAGTCATCTACAGGTCGCTGTCCAATCTCTCACAAAGGTTTTCATTTAATGTTTTTAAACCAAAACGGTCCGTTTTAAGAGTTTTAGTCAGGATTCCGAGCACATAAAGTTACTAAAGATCTGCCCTGAGCCTCTGATAGAATCAGATATGTGCTGCATTTATTATCATTAATCTCTATCCACCCAATGGATACCCTTTCCAAAATATTTGAATATTATGGATAAGTTGTTTTATTTCCATAATTCCATTCAAAAAGTTAAACTTTCATAGATGAGATATTCAGGGCCCCTAATTGAAACAATTTGAAGTATTTATTTGTTTAAAAACTCCCCCACAAAAACTGGATATTTTTTCATTTATTGAATACTTTTTTCTGGTTACATGTGTACACACTGTAGAGTAAAACACCATTTCAGTCGGTGTGTGTGTGTGTGTTGTTTGCATAGCAAAATTGACAATGCACCTGATCTTTACATTTACATGAAACTAAACCAAAACCAAAAGTCTAAAACCCTAAACAAAATCCCTGCTGGCGACTCCTCCCAGGAAGGCTCACAGATCCCGAGTATACCCGCTGTTTGGGAAGGAACCACTATAACTGCCACAATATCCAGCAGCTCAAAAACAGGGACGAAGAAAATGTTGTCAATATGTCACAAAACATCAAATCTTTTCAGAATGGAGTAAAGTTGGAATAAAATCGAAGCCCTACTTCCTCTCTTTTTCTGGAGACTGTGGCATTCGCAAAAAAAGTGCAGATATCGCACAACAGGCCAACCCTGTTCCACCCATTGCACCTGTTCTCTGGACCAGGAACTGGGAGACACTGGACAAAACCCAATAATGAATCTGCTTCACGAACAAATAAAAGTGTGTTACTTCCCTTCGGTGTAGGCCTCCTTCCTGTTATAAAATCTAAAAAGCTTTTATGCAAGATAGCTGTGACCTTTGTGCCTCGGCTTATGGTGAAAAAGAAGTTTGTGTCCATATTAAATGCAACAAAACAAACAAAAAAAACTAATAATAAGGTTTAGGCAACACTTCCTCTAAACCGTTGTAATGACAGTTTCAGTGGCGTGCAACACAGGTGGCCTCCAACTGCCTTCACCTTTTATAACCATTGACTGTGGGATTAGTTTAATTATCAGGCCTCGGTTTATTACTATAACACATTTCACAGGAGACCAAAGCACTGAACCAATATGGATATGAATAATAATACACATGAAATATAAAAACAGAGGTAGAAATCAAACAGCGTGGCTTCAAATAAATGAATTTTATATGATGCACAAAGTACAACCAAGACCACTTCTAAACGTGGTCCTAATCCAGACCTGTGTCTGTGTCAAGGCAACTTTACATCTAAAAGGATATTACTCATAATAAACACTATCCTGGACCGTACATCTCTGAAACAGCGCTGGGATGGAAGTGAGGCAGATAGTTTTAACTTTTGAAGATAAATCTGTAAGTCATATGGAAAGCAATAAAAAGATATGCTGTTTTTTTCAAAAAAGAAGATGGTGGCCGGGTCAGATGTGGGCTAAATGTAGGTTATATCAAAGACACGTCTTTTACATGCACATACCGTAAACTGAAAAAAAATTCTAGTATTTAAGGTATAAAGTAAAGTTTCTTTGAAAAAAATCGAATTTTCTAACACTTCTAACACTTTGAAAAATCTCTGCGTAGGACACATGTTTTGTCTGAAGCTGAAACATGTTTTATATTTCTTTTTTTCATATTTTCTGAGCTTTCTGTGGAGAAGGCACACGTGTCAGTGGTTAGGAGTAGTGGCAGTGGGCTTATTTCTGGTTACACACAACCCTCCACTTCTGCATTTCACACATCGCAACGGAAAGGCAATCACCCACTCAAAACCAGCGTTGTGGTGGGCGGAGCCTCTTTACCACTGAAATTGTAAAACGGATGAAGAAATATCCCCCTTTATGTGGAGTTTTTCAGCTTTCATTATCTCTGCAGGAGCTCCAAACACATACATGACTTCACTTGAAAATGGGAACAGATTGAATCTTAGCTGTTGACCCATCCCTCCAGGTCCTGGTACACCTTCGGGGTGGTTAAACTCGGGTATTTCACACAAATCTGACACAGCCTCTCTCTCCAGTCGGTGTAGCGTTTGATCCCGTGAGTGTGTTGCCAGTGGAAGTACTCCTCGTAGGCCTGTTTGTCTGACGCCAATCGCTTCAGGTGAGCCGCCAGATCTCCCGCCGTAGGGAAATCCGCCACGTGGATGAAGGAACGGGGGGGCGCCAAGGCCCGGTAGGTGGCGGGCCCGGGGCCGAGAACCACCGGGAGGGCCCCCGCCTGGAAAGCGTTCCTCCACAGCTTCTCGCTGATGTAGTCCTTGGCCTCCGAGTTCTCGAAAGCCAGATAGAAGAGGCAGTTCCCGATGGTGGGGAGCAGCTTCTGGTCCGCCAGTGGTCGGCGGTTCCATTTCCCGTAGACCTCGATGGGGACGTGTTTCCGTAGACTTTGGTACACGCGGGAACGGGTCTGCTCCGGGAAGTATTTGCTGACCACCCAGCTGGCGAAGCAGGAGCGGTTTTCGGCCGGGGGGAAGCTGGGCCTGAAGGCCCCCCGGAAGCTCTCCCCGTACGGGACGGGTATGTCCGCGTCCCGCCGGTAGCTCATGGTCCAGTTGAAGAGGCCGCTCAGCTTGTCCAGGCCGGCGTTGTGGGCGGGCGGCTCCAGGGACAGCCAGACCCAGCGCTGGGAGGGGGGGCGGGGCAGGTCCAGGGGCAGAGCTGACCGCCCGGCGCCCAGCTCCTGGTGGTGGAACACCACCACGTCGGCGGAGGGGAGCGAGGACCTGCGGTCAGTGAGGAGACAGCGGTCGATGGCGTACATGCGGAGGCACTCGCTGCCGTCCAGCCTGTAGGAACGGCCGAAGGGCCAGTGCCAGAGCAGGACGCTGACGTTCCTCTGGACAGCCGGCGGCCGGTCCCGGTGCCCGGAGGGATCTCGATCCAGCAGGCCGTTGTACAACAGCGTGGAAAGGGAGGCGAGGAGGAGGAGGAGGAGGAAGAAAAGGCCGAGGGCTCTGGTTCCAATCGTGGTCACAGCTGCCATACTCCAGGTTTTAAAAGCTCACTGGTTAAAAACACCTAAAGGGAAGGAAGGGAAGACAGTATGTAAAATTGTAGTTTCATATGCTCTGTGAGAACTACAGAAGGCATGGTGTTGTTAGAATTTGGCTATAGTTACCCACCCATTGTATGCTATCACATAATCTATGTAAATGACTGATTGTCTTATTCCTTTTAGAACCTTACTTTTGTGTTAAATTCTCTGGCTGTAATCACAGATTCTGTTTCTCTCTCTGTTGCTTTAGACAAACATCATCACACAAACATTGTTACCACATTCCAACGTTATCTGCATTAATTAGGACCTGACCGGTTCATGTCAGGGTTAGGGGTCAAGTAGGGGTAAGATTTTTGGCTGATCTGTTTGGCTCCATCCTGGTTTCAAACCTTTAGCTCGGTTTGCACAGAAAACCATGAAGGTGCTCGGAGGATCCAGAGGTCTGGAGCGAGTCTGGACCTCAGACCACGAAGACTGGACGCCTAGAGACTAAATTTGTGTTAGCTCGTATTATGTTGCCATCGTGTGTTGCCAGTAAGTAACTGGCCAATAAGTACTCAGTAGTGTCCAGTCCTTTTTAAGGTCTGCTTGATTTACATCAAGCAGACAAAGTTACCAGAAATAATAATAATTTAGATTATCACCACAGTCAGGAAAAAAGAAATGGGCATAAACACACACAAAAAAAACATATTCACACACATGTGTACATTATATCTCCATATTTCTGTGGACATGTGTGAGTGTGCGTGCATACATTATAGTCTGGATTTCACATTTTTGTGCCATAACTGCTGTGTTGATGCTGAGGTAATTGAATGAAAACGAACAGGTGAAGGATTTGGTTTAGTAGATGGTACACCCGGATAGTTAGTAACACCAATGCTACACCACACACACACATAAGCATATGGAAATCTACATAGATATTAACATTCAGTATTAGATCAGCCATAACCAAGTCCACTTGGTCAATAAATCAGAGCATTGCACAGAGAGGATTTATAGAGCTCTGAATTGATAGATAGATGCCTCTTACCTCAGTGAGATGGCATTAGACTGCTGCCAGTTGTGCGTTGTCCTCCCCAACATCTTAGAGGAAATCCTGCCCCTACCAGAGTTTTGACTCATCTCTTGCCTCACACTCCTGTTAGGGTGTGCCAGTTCACACACAGCCTTGAAAAACGTGTCAGCAGTTACAAAAGTTCGGCCCAAAATGCAGCAATCTTTGGATGTGGTCATTTACAGGCGATGGCTCCAAATTAGCTATTTTCTGTCTAACTATAAATCTGACTGGAATCCATTCTGTGGCATAGCTAATATTCACAGGGTGGCTGTATTTACTCTCATGTGTCCGAGACAGACGGGATGAAAGCCCCATCACCAAAGACACTTGCCACACGCAGCCCGCACTCACAGTTGCTTCCTGTGCGAGTGGTGCTCCAAATTTGAACTCAGCCGTTTTCATCCGCGCCCTCAGATGTTTTCAGATTTGTAAACCACAAGCTGGTCTTCCCCTTCCTGTTCAGCCCTGCAAAGGAGAGGCACGCCACGGCGGTAGGCACCGACCGCATTCACGTGAACCACTCCCCGGAAGCCTGCCAATTCAAGGATGATTCAACTTAAACACGCCAAGTAATGGAAGAACGCTAATTGACGGTTGAATGCTCCTACTTCAAAATTGGCTTTCGTGCCTTTGTGTTTTTGGGCTGTTCCCTTGACCGATGCCAACGGCAAACCTTGACCTTTCTCTTCATATCAGTCAGACAGAAACCAAATGGGGTTCTCGTGAGGTTCAAATGTATTTTACTGCGATTTATATTATTGTTGAAATGGAATTTTATCAAAAAAGTACTGGATGGGAAGGATATTACGTAAAATTACATTAATATGATATGCATGTAATCAGTGGAATTAAACATTTATTCAGCATTCCCTCAAATTAAAGTATAAGAACATAATCATTTATAGGATAAAGAGGTGTTCAGCGCATAGCTATGTACTGTATGTCTTCATGCATATAGGATATGTATATTTGTGTTGTTCTACGCTACTTTTGGATAAACTTAGACATTATTGTCACCTGATAAGTTCAGCATGTCAGGAGAAACTAATTAGTCAGTTAAAATTCAAGTTTGAGGACATTAAGACTTGGATGACTCCTAATTTACAGCTTTTGGATTCAAACAAAATGGATGCTGTTGTCTTTGGACTCTTAGTGGAATTCCTTGTGGACACACTACCTTTGTCACTGTCACATAGAAAGCATCCATGCAAAAACAGTCTTTTTGAATCACACAAAATGCAAAAAGAGCACAGAAATATAAAAATAACAAAGTACAAAGTAGCTAATGTAAAAATGATACAATAGTTGAGGTGCAAAACAAATAAGGTGCTTAAGCTTAAAGTGTTTCTTGGGGCTGTGGCTCCAGCACACCGTGGTTCAGAAGGTGACGCTGGACAGCCGCTCACTGCTAAAACATCTGAAGGCGTAAACGACCGAGTCCTCGCAGAAGAAAAAGGAGACTTTCTTTTTTTTATAATGGCAGTGTCATCCTGGACCTTCTGCAGTACGCAGGACTTATAAAACAGTTTTTATCATCCCCACAATTTTTAACAGATCAGCAAAAAACAAGAACAGTGAACTGTGATAAACACTGTGGCCGACCTGTGACGTAGTCCCCAATCCAGGTGCCAAGCGAGTCATTACGCTATGCTGTAAATTATGACTCAAACTAGGCTGTCAAATAATATAAAGCCTGTCTTTCACAAAAAATCAAGGTAGAAAGAAAACATCCATGCAGGCTGAGATGAGGCTGTAAGCCATGCTTCGCCTCATATGAGATGGATGTCCATAACCCAGTCGTGGACAGAGGTTTTCATGCTCCTGTCTGAGCCAGATGTAGGAAAAATGCTGGGAAGTGATGAGATAATAGATGGTGGAGCAGAAAATAGTCAGTTGCTGCAGAGGTTATTCATAGAGAAAAACCCCAACGCTTTCCAGTTTCTCTTCTCTTTTTCCTCAGGTTGAAGTTGTTAAATTCAAACGTTGTTTGTTTGCTTTCTTATAGTTCAACATTTGGTCATATATCTATATATATATACACTGTTGTATTGAATTTCATTGGTCATCTCAGAATAAAGGAAATGTCACATTATCAATGTAACTATGTGTGTGTATTTATATTTATCAGACCATATTTATTATCAGCAGGAGGTGGGCCAGTCTGTTCAGAATTCCCAGGTTTGCCCCAGTCTGAGGTCCATGATGATGAAGAGGAGGGGGTGGTGGCCAAATCTGTTAAAGAGCAGCTTTAACGTGTTGGCCTCTCTCCCATCAACCTTCCCTGAAAAGGCATTGATCAGCTCACTGCTGTTAAAATGCACCACGGTCTTGCTGTCAGCAGCCATTTACACATCAGATTATTTTTTTTAAATTGAGTTCTGTGACTCAGCAAATGCTGAGCCTGTAAAGACCCAATTTATCCATTTAATGCAGTCGGTAAGTCAGAGCTCAATATCTCCTTGATCTGAATCAAGCTCAACTTCTGCCACCAGTTCTGTACTGGCTACACCTGCACCAAAAGCTGGGATTTGGGCAGACTTCCAAACCCCTTTGATCCCGGCACCACAGGACAAGGGAATTCCCAGGCACCAAGATCCACTGATTTCATGGAAAAATAATTTCCCTGCATTCCATCCATCCATCCATTTTCGTAAACGCTTATTCCCCAATGGTGTCACAGGTGGACTGGAGCCTATCCCAGAAGTCAATGGGGTCCATCACAGGGCCACACAGAGACACACAAGGACCAACAACCACGCACACTCACACTCACTCCTAAGGGCCTCTGTGTGTGCTTTGCATTTTATGAAACACCCTGAATCTATTTTCTTATGTAATTTATACTGCACTGCTTAAGCTTGAATTTTTGGAGCTACTGAATTTAATTTGGAGACCTGTTGCTCTGGGCTTTCATCCTGAAGCTGAGCAGGGTGGAAATTCTTCCATTCCCTCAAATCTCTAGCGCCGTGCCACGCCCTTCTGCCTCCACCATCCAGCTCCATCCAGCTCCAGCTGTTTCAGCACCATGGAGAGAGGAGCATTCAGCCATGCTGCTCCCCAACCCTGGAATTCCCTGAACCGACACATTTATGACACTGACTCTCTCCATCTGTTTAAATCCCAGCTGTCATTGGTATTTATTTATTTATTTAGCCTTTATAAATGGAATCATCAAAGTAGACTGGCTATTTATATGTAATTATTAAGGATCCCTGTTTCAGTGCAGAGATAGAGGAAGTGAGTTTGTTTAGCTGTGGCTGGAAATCAGAATTTATATTTCATATTTGCTTTTTTATTTAATGTATGTGCTTATTTTATACAATATATGTTTTTTTTCATGAATTCATCTGGAGTACACAGCCCGTTAGACAGGCCTTATCCAACCGGGCCGAACATCCAGAAGCCCCTCTTTGTGAGGCAGACCTGCATGCCAAACCATTTGAAAACGTGTCACTAAAAGGAAACTGACGCGATTTAGAAAGTCACCAGCTCAGTTTTCTTCTGAAAGACGGACAAGCTAAACGTCTGAAGTGATTTCAACAGAGGAATTTTCGACTTCCGGTGCTGAAGGCGGTGCTTTTGTTTTGGTGGGCCAGGCCGGAAGCCAACCTGTCAGCCTGTTAACGGAGACGACGGCGCGGCCACACGCACGCCGCATTCGCCACCTCCGCCGAAAGCGAAAAAGCCGGACGCTCTCCACGGAGGAGCTAGGCCAGGATGCCGAGCACGGCCGGACCCGGAGCGTCCACGCAGGCGTCCACGCGGGCCTCCCGCGAGCCGCCGACACAGTGAACACGCTCGTGTCGTCGCCCCCCCCCAGCTGCGCGCGACGGGGCGGTGATGCCCGCGAACCGGGCTCAGACACGCCGGGGGTTCCAGTCCAGCCGCAGGGCCACCGCCAGCCTGTTTACCCGCTGAATCCAGGACAAGCCCCCCCACCCCGGAGAGGCAACATGGGGTTCCTGCACCAGCTCCATCTCCTCCTGTGGAAGAACATCTCCCTGAAGAAAAGAGGACCGGTAAGAGAACGCGCTTGTTCACGTGCATGTCTGTGAGGTCGGAAACAGCCGCGCGAGGCAAAACAAAAACAAACCGACCAAACGGAAGACAAATGAACGGGTTTAGGTGCCGTGACCCGGAGGGGGGGGCTGAGCAGCGTCTCCCTCCCCGCTGCTGCATTGCCTTCAGCCCCAGATAACCCCCCCCCCC